GCGTGAAATAGCTTCTCCAAACAGGCCACTCAGTAAAATACCCAGAATTCTTCAAATGACCAAATGTATACTAGCTAGGGTACAAGATTATCTAAGCCATTGTGAGGGTATTATGAACCAGAAAACTAAACTATAACACATATTAAGGAGTATTAATGTGCATGATGCAAGCAGAGCCATTAGAGGCTGGATATTCCCCACCCAGAGGGCCCAAAGCATGATGCAATGTGGGTGATCCATCCACTGAGGCACAAGCTAACGGTAATGAGACTGGAGATACACTGGGGAGATAGAGAGAGAATGAAGCAGTGGACGGATACAAAACACACACACAAACACACTCACACACACATTCAGACACAGCAGCAGCAACCAGTCGCCTGGAAGACTGAATACAAAATGCCTTAGAAATAGACTATAATCCTGGCCAGCAGTGATCAACACTGATAAATATTAATAAACACTATTATGCCCAGAGAAAAATAGAGACAGAATGAGAGAAAAGATAGAGAGGGAGAGGGAGAGGCAAAAAGGGAGAGAGGGGGGGGGGGGGGGGGGGGGGGGGGGGCAATAACAAAAGAGTCTTCCTTCTATGTGTTATTGCAGCCAATTTTCCATCTGATGTCCACCTTGTGGTTCTGCAGACAACGCAACAACAACACACACTCTCTTCTTATTATCAGCCCATTTCCTCTGTTTGTTTCCTCTGTTGTTTTTCCCCCCCGCCTTTGGAAGTTGGGATAAGAGATGGGAACAAACACCCAAATGAGCACTCGGTGAATGTATACAGAGCAGGAGAGTTGAAGAAAGAGGGAGATAAAGTGAGTCTTATAAACACACGTGTACACACACACAGAATAGCATCTCCTTCTCTCTGTCTGAATCAGTCTCATTAGTCATGCTCAGGCTGTAGCGTTGCTGCTCCGCCTGCTTAAAGAGCTGTAGAGCTGGACGGCAGCCCACAGCCGGCGAAGGTCACCCACCATTCACTTTCACTCCTAAAAGACCAACATCTCCCTGATAATGAGGAGACGTGAAGACGTACAGGAGAAAGACCTGCCTTTTGAGCCACACCTGTCGTGGTGTGCAGCAGTAGGAGAAAAGTCTTATTGGAATTCAATAGCACTTGGGACGACTCAGAAACCTGTTGATACCGTGCATCCCACAACCATATCACAACATGGAAGAGTGAAATAGGTAGCGCTGTTTATTGTCAAAGGCTCTTTTGTGAGCATGTTTGCTATTGAACATTTTGTTTCAAAAACAATGTGCAGCAGAAGTCACAGACGTTATAGTGTCCTGTGACTTCAAGACGCTGCAATTGCCAAAATAATGTACATAAAACATTTGATTTCAGCATCTACTGTAGGTTACTGCTGGCTGGACTGGCTAACGACCGCTCGGACTGTGTCATTTATCACGGTCTGAGCCAAAAGTCGACAATCATGAGAGACGTGGTCAACATTTGGGATAAATATTGTACGATACATTACCGACAACTGAGCTTTAGTGACATAAGACAGCCTGTAGCAACATTCTGACAGTGTCCAAACCATGCAGACAAAACAAAAAGATCTGCAAATGCGACAGGACATTGTAGCACGAATGAATGCTGTAGCTCTCGTGTGTCTCCTGGAATCCTCTGCACTATGGCAGAAGTGGTGAACTTAAACCCGTCATGTCATGTCAAAAGTCATGAAGGACATTGTGGAGATCCACATGGACTAACACATCATTCAAATGACCTCCTATGCCATATGTGAATGTAGCTTGCTGGGTTGTAACAGGAAAGTTGGAATTGGACTTATTTCAAACCAATTTGAGACAATCTGATTGTGGAATTGAAAGTCCTGTACCTGATACAGGTTGTCAATGGGAACCCACTGCCAGGAAAACTATAGTATAAGGAAGTTATTACTAAACATCTTACATAGATCTTTGCAGGGCACAAGGTTTTCAGAATCATTTCCTCAAGTGCTGTGCACCTTGATGAAGTGTGATATCCTCCAGATTAAGCGGAGGGTTGACTGACTGACCCAACCTTGCCTCTTGGACTGAGTCGATATGAAACTTTCCCCACGACACGAGTGCAGAAGGGCTGTCACGGATCTCGTCAGGAAACGCTGAACATGCCTGTACCGAGGAGATGATGAATTCATCACAGCGACGTCCCAGAGCGAGCTCAGCTGACACGACCTTGATCGATCGCAGGCAGAACGACAGATGGCCATAAAGGACGATCATGTAACTGTACGCTCATTAGCATAATGCATATACAGTACACTTTTTACTACAAGGCCGCATGGTGCTATCACTGCCCCTGTGGGCTTGTGACAGAGATGCAGGGTTGTTAATGTATTAAAGCGTGACACTTTCATATTGTACTTAGCAAATATAACTTTAACATGGGTTTCACAGGTCGTGACTTTACTTAATTCAAAGAAACATTGTTATCTTTTGCAAGCCATATGAAGGGGAGGGCCTGCACCAACGCAGCAAATGATCATCCAGTGAGGGAACAGCTACATGTTTGATGTCCATAGTTGCCATATGGGCATTCAAATCAGGAAGAAAAACACCTGCTAGCTAATTCTATTTCCCTAAAGTCTGGTCATAATTAAAGGAGTGGTGTCCGACACGGTGCATACAGTGTAATGACATGTTGCAGATAACTAGCTAAATTGACTGAGAATAATGAGAGAAGATTGACTCAAATAGAAGCTCAAAGAGACAAAAAGTCCACCTTCATGATTCTTTCAAATGCTTCATGTCAGTAGGAATGTGCTGGTAGTTTTTTCTTAAATGTGAAGCTCCTTGTCAGGTTATTGTATCATGCTATGAATGTCCATTGTTTTATTACCCTAAAAATGATATTTTACAATCTACGGTTATATACATGTAATTGATCATTGATGACTGCCCTGTTAGGTTAGTGCAGGCGCATGTCTTTGTGTGCAGCAGGGAGTTACAGTATTGGGTTTGAAAGGCTACTTTGTGAATTTCTAAAATGATTACATCTATCTCTTTTCAATTTAGAACTTTGATTTAACAATGCTCCAGAGTTATTGAAAATATTTGGATCATACAAGAAATAATGTTACACATGCTACTAAAATGTATTACTCATATATTTAGTGTAGCCTAATCTTAATCTCGGATGTGCAGAAATAATGTGTTTAAACCACAACGAATAAACCTTTGAAAAAAAGCAAAAAGCTGTGCAGCATTAAAATGTTGATTTGAACGTCAAACCTGAGTTTCCTTAATAGTGTACAGCCTCTGAGGAGCAGAGCTATACCTTATTTATTTCCTCTTTCATCCCTACGTCTTTCCTCATCTAATTCTGATGTACTCTTACTCTTTCCTTTGTTCCCTTTCTTGTTTGCACACCCTCTATCCACATCTGACTTTTTGCCAATCTATCCCTCCTCTCATAATACCAACAACTTTCTTTCCCCATTTCTCTCTCCTTTCATTGGCATCATCTGTTCCCTCCACATTGTATTTTCAGATCACATCCAGGCACTGGCTTTAGGCACTAAGTCACTCTACACCTCATCACTCAGTGGAAAGTCAAGGAGAGGGCAGAGAGAGATGGAGAAAGAGCAAGGACTTAAGAGAGAGAGAGGTGGACGAGAGGGAAGAAGGTGAAGAGGAGCAAGAATGTAAACAGAGGGAGGTTAAAGGTTAGAAAATGAACGCAAAGAAGAGAGGTCACAAAGAGGTGTTGAGGGAGGAAATAGAGAAGAAAAGGAAATGTAGATAAGAGAAGGAGCAGAGGGAGAATGGGCTTAGCAGAATGAAAGAAATCTTTATGCAAAGGATGGGGTTGCAGAGAAGAGATGGAGACAGAGAGGTGGAGAGTAGTCCAGAGATTTATGGCAGGTTGTTATGGAGCACCGTCTGAATAACAGAAGGTGAGACCAGGTGAATTATTCATGAGGATACAGGGCCGTGAGTGTGTGTGTGTGACATGCAGGTGACAAACACACACACTCACAATGTCTCTCAGGCACCCTTAGGCCAGCTCATCTATGAGGAAAAGGAAAGACAAGCCATCCGCAACTTGTGGAAAGTCTGAAATGCTGTGGGAAAAGGTAGATGGGGACGAGGAGACAGCTGTTCTCTTTTTAGGTTGAATGAGAAGTCTAATTTGGCTGTGGAGACATTTTGACTATATCATATTAATTTATGATATGACCATGGTAGCAGATTCCAACCTGCACTACCTGAACAATTGACTTTGAGTTTGTGTGTGCAGGTATACACTTTAAACTACTTTGTTATTCTAGTTCTATAATTCTGGATTGACGAAGCCTATGAGAGAACATGTACTTCATGTTGCACCAAATGTGCACTTACACCAACACTTTGGTTGCTTTGGCTCAAACCAGAATGGAAAATGTAACTTTTGTCCAAATCCCTACTTTCCATAACTTCTTCCACATTGTTGGTGTCCTGCCATCCTAACAGGGTGGAGATTCTTGCCTTGGCCGTGACAGTGTGGTGGCAAAATGTATTCAATGTTCGGAATAATGTTTTAATTCACCCGACAATTGCCGTTAGGGGTGTTTCCAGTATAGTTTGGCTTCAATTATGTTCTCTCTACAGAAATTCTGTAAATACCGCATCATTATTTACACTCTAGTCTTCACAGTGGGTTTTTGTTAAACCAAGCAACAACATATTTCTCACCTTAGTAAAGAAATTGAATTAATGGAGTAAATGCTTCAGAGCTGGGCAGTTCCTCTGCAGACATGCTTAATATAAACACACCCTAAACCCAAGACCACTGAAATGTTAGTGGCGGTCCAACACAAACTTATTCCGAGAACTGTACTTGAAACTAAGAGGGAGGCAAAGTAGCCTATTCTCCGTTTAATTTCATATAAACACATGTGCACACAAAACCAAGCCAAAACTATCAGGCATTTTTTTTTAAATCATGAGAACTGATGATCACAAAAAACGTTTTGAGAGCTACTGTGTCAAACACTCACCGAGTTGATGCAGGCCAGCTCCTTGTTGAGCAGCCAGGGCAGGGAGAGCTTCCCCTCTCCTCTGTAGCACGACTGAATCCTCTTTTTAATCTTCTCCTTTATCCGTTTCATAGTGAACAGACACAAAGCCGACTCCTTGGGAGGCTTGGCCCTGTTCTTCTGACCCTGCGCGAACACAGTGAACAGAACCTCCTCGTGCTCTTCAATACCGAGCGAACGGGCCAAACGGGCCCCCGGCCGGGCCAAATAAGCATCCTGAACCAAGCGGTACTCCACTCCGTCCTTGGTGCAGCCGATTGGGAACTCAACGTAGGAGTAGAACTTAGGATCGTCCACGCACAGGCGGACGATTTTAGAGGTGAAGAACTGTTCGCTGCTTGCGTCTGGCGAGGTGAGCTGGGTGTCGAGCTGTAAGGTGAGGTAATACACAAACTGCTCGCTGTTGAAGCCGTAGATGTAGTAGATGTCGAATGCCGGGAACTTGGAGAGCGTGTCTGAGGGAATCTTCAGCTGCGAGGAGACAAACTCGTCCTGGTAGACGAAGCTGAACATGTCGGCGTTCTCCTCGTTGGACATCAACTTGCGGCTCGACAGCGTAGGGAAGTACTCGGATTTCCCGTCAATGGGAGTACCGACAAAAAGTTTCCCACCTCCGCCAAAAAGATCCGGGGATATCACGACACCTGACATGGTGCCTGCCTCTGCAACGCTGGATAGATAATGCTCTTTGCGGTGGTGGGGCTCACCGAGCTTGAACAAATCATCCAGACGCAGGAATTGGCATATTCCCTGGGAGGTACTTCCACAGGCAATTAAGCGGTTGTGGGCAGCATCAAGTAGCAGGAGTTTATTGATGTTCGAGGTCTGCACCAGCTCATGGGGGCAGGACTGGACCCCGGGCGGGGGGTAACAGCGAGGGTTGTCTGTGACTGGGCCAGTCACATGGTTTCGGAGCTTGGTCAGGTTGCTCGACAGCTTGTAGATCCAGTTGACTGCGCCGAGGTAGACCTCGCCCGTTTTGTTGTGAACCACCAAATGTGTGAGACCTCCCTCCGGTGGGAAGAAGGTGAGGAGGGAGGAGGAAGGAGTGGAGGTGGAGGGCATGGACAGGGAGGGGGAGAAGAGATGGAGGAGGACGGGGAGGATAAGCATAGGATGATTGGAGTGGGGGGACATGGTGGTGAGGGGAGGGGAGGTGTGAGAGTGTGGGTGTTGGTATGTATTTGTGGGTGTGTAAAACTCCACAGGGTCAGTCAGTGACTTTTAAGACTGCAGGGTCTGACGAGGCAAAGCAAAAGTTTCCAAGCAATCGTCTTCCTCTTTTTTCCCCTCCTTTGTCGGCTGTTGTTTTTATAACCTCATCCCCTGATCTTCAGCCTTGACCGCCACCAGCCCTGAGAAAGAGAAACAAACAAAATCTTAGCAAACAAAGAGGTCAATATATTCACGGGTCTGTGTTTTGCACTTTAAAATATCTGACCAAAAAGGATTCATTTGTATCGAAATGACACGGCACTAAATATTCGCCCACAGACTCAGACTCTGAGGCCTCGTTGCAGAAGTCCAAAAAAACAAATGAGGGCACTATCGGCTATGTTTTATTGACTTCTCGACTCTTGGCTCGCTCCACTGTGTGGAGTGCATCTTTTAAAAGAAGACAGGGCCAAACATCGCTCTTCTGCGTATTGATTGTCTGGAGGTATTAAAGGATCTAGCAGACGGGGTGTGCATACACAGACAAAAATACATACACACAGAAAAGCAACTTGTGACACATAAGTGTTTGCAAGTAAGGAGACATGCAGATGTGTTGCATTGCATTTGCAAAGAAAAGGACACAAAGGGTGAGCCACTGACTTCAAACATTGTGACAGCATGGAAACATCCATACATTACAAGTGTGCAGGAGAATCCAATGATATATAACAACAGAGAAGAGAGGAGGACATTTGTAAGATAACTGGTCAAACACAATACAATGGGAGACAGTGAGAGGTAATAATAATAATAATAGTATTATTTTGTTAGCGCTTTTACAGGTGCTCAAAGACGCTTAACAGAGATAGTGAAAAGAAAAGGACAACAAATAAATATAGTTAAAATCAAATCAAGCAATACAAAAGCAATCACACATTAAAAGCCAGATTGAAGAGGTGAGTGTGTGTAAGGTAGGTACAGAGAGGTAGGTACAGAGAGGTTCAAACTCTTTGGCTTCATACCAGTTCAATATAAAAGGCAGTGAAGATGGCTGCAAAGATTGCTATAAGGGAAAACTACAAAAAAGAAGGAAAACACAAAGCGAGATGGTCCATCCATCTTTTTTTCCATCCACCCACTTCCAAAGATCTACTTTTTCAGGTTCAGAGTTACAGTATCTACAGTATCCCTGAATGCTGTGAGTGGCAGGTAAAGATTGGGGGTTCAAGCGCAAAGCAACACGCCCTACATACTTAACCATCAACGTTGTTTTTGCTACAATTACCATCACTGTGAGATGAGAACAATGGATTTGACTAAACAATGTTACCTGGTTGAGAGGAACATGCAAGCTTATAGCATTCAACATTTAGGAGGACCTCGTTTCTGTCACAAAATCACCAGAAAACCTTTGAAATGTCTTACCAACAGAGACCAGTTCAGACAAAACCTATAAACCCATGGTTGGCAAGAAGCAACCCTCTGGTGTGGCTCAACAAAGTATGAATTGGTAGAGCTCACATATAGAATACAAAAAACTGATTGGTAAAACTCTTCACAAAGAGGCATACAAGAAATAACTAAAGTTCAAAGATGTACAGGTTTCATAACAAATGATTGGGATGAGGATGTATTTTCTATGTATTGATGCACCTTACAATATGAGTTACGCCTGTCAAGCAATCATCTGTTAATGGCACAGTAACAACATATTATTTCCCAAGGCTACGTTCATTGGGAAGCGTTCTAAAGCAACCACAGACACACACTCTGTCCAACCATCTTTTCATTAGATCATTGGTTTAGACTCGGCTAAATAAAGAGCACAAGGCTATGGCCTGTTTCATAATGGAGTTTGGTCAGCTACTTATTCTCGTCTCTTATTTCTGCTGCTGTTTCTCATTCCTCCCTTTCATTACATTCCTCTCTCTCCCCCCCAGACACTTCACTTCTTGTCAATAGTGTCTTTCATCTGCAGCCCAGCCATGATTACAGTGGCCCAGATGACGATGCTGTTGCCTGTCTCATCAGCACAATAGAGCTTCTGTTAGCAGACACACACAAACGCACAACATGTGAACATATGACACACTCGTACAGTATGTGGTCCACGGGATTCTTACACACTGTCACATATTCTAATGATCTCAACACTTCAAATATAATTGACATTAAACAGACCTGCCCACACACACTCGTCATGCCCCACCCATGCACAACAGAAGGAAGGGAAATGTCTTCAACAGAGAAAGAGGAGATGTAACTAACTTTTCCTAATGACATGTTAAGATAAGCTATTTTTGCAGCATTTTTATCTCACCTTGTCTGATATAAATTCTATAAATAAATGAAAACCAAGCAGCCAACATGGAATAAATGGACATAGCTTTAGTAGTTGGTGGAGCTGCGAGCTGAAGATGCCGGGAGCTGTTTGACTAAACTGGGACAATCAGATGAGAGGGGAGAAGGAAGAAAAACAAGTTGCTGATTTAAAAGTTTTTGCTTTAATGTCTGAATTAGATAATTAAAAAAAAAAGTTGAGTTTATGGATAAGAAAATTGGTTGGAAAACTGACAGTGGACAAGAAAAAAAGAGAGAAATGGGACAGAAATGATATAAATGGGTACAAACTTTCTTCCTAACTGTGCGGATATGATATTGTGTATGTGTTTTTACCAAGAAAACCTTGAATTACAGAGCCTTTGCTTCTTTGTGTGTGTGTGTCAGGGCCATTGTGAAGCCCACCTGCCACATCAGATGAAGCTGTTGAGGCCTTCAGGTCGGTCCCACACTGATTTATTGCTGTTGGCACATCGATTGCACACACAGGCGCAGACCTTGGCCAAACACTTTGGCAAATTTATACACACCACTTCTTTAGCATGGAGGCCACATCCATGCCTGAAAATGTGTCTATGAGTGTGTGTGTAAGTGTGTACATCCTGCATCTTTTCAATCTTATTTTCTTCAAAACACACGCAGACATACGTCCAAACACATCGGCCTGTACATGTACTGTTTATATTGGTAGCCCAACTGTACAAACCATAGAGGGAAGCATAAACATTCACATGTATACCTTTCCATTTCAAACACATTTCTTCTGGATAAAGTGCAGTGGGGAGAGAAAGTGGGGACATGGGCAAGAATGAAAACATTTGGCACCCCTTCATATGACTGTGTTGGTAAAATCATACGCCAATATGTTACATTTTAACATTCATTCCATATCCTTGATATCAGACCATAGTCTAATCCACCAAAAGTACCAGTGTAAGCCAAAATGCTTACTAGTTAAGTAGTAGGGCTGGCCATTGACAACTACAGTTGACTAAATTCACACACTTTCTTTAACTAGTTAACGCAAACAATTGTGCTAGTTAACTAGTTTAAGCCCCTTTTTACCTTAATAGTTAACTAGTGAAGCTCATAGAGTATTCTAGTTGAAGTAATGAAATACAAAAGCCTCACTAGTAGCACTATTTAGATAGCATTTTATTATTGATGGCACAACTTCTAGTAGTACTACTACTGGCAGAAGCATTTAGTGGCACCAGATAATTTAAACAATTATCACTATTTCACTAGTTAACTAGTAAAACTGTCTTCTAAACTTCACCAGTTGACAAGTAAAACGCCTAGTTTAACCTAGTTAGTTTCAAAAACGAAATAAAGCCTGATTTGACACTAGTAGTCAACAAGCGAAGCTTAAAAGGTATTAGTTTACTAGTTAAGTCCAAATGTCTCTCACACGTGTTACTAATTGTTATTTTTGACATCAATAGTTAGGTGAATGACATTTTGAGACTCACTATTAGAAAGAAGCTTCAACTATTTAACTAGTGAAAATGTTTGCCCTGACTAATTAAGTAGTGCGCAACTTTGGATCCTAGTTGAAGGTGGGGTAGGTAATTTTGGAGAAACCAGCTCGAGATCGCTAGAATTTGAAAATACACAATCGGAAAAAATCTGCCACTTCCTTACAGAGCCCCTCCTCCAACACACACGAACGTGCACATGACCAATGAGGGCACGAGATAAGTTTGTGCACAGATGGAAGGCTGACAGGCAGGTAGGCCATCCAGTTATTTTAGCCGGGCCGGCTAAAATGATTGATCGTGCTTTTTACAGTACTACAGCTTACACAGATGACATTTTTTTATGGATTTTTTGTCAAAGCACTTAAGATATTCATTGCTATCGGGATGTTAAGAGCATTCCATGGAATATAACAAAAAGTGTATCTCGTGCCGGTTTCTCAAACTTACCTACCCCACCTTTAAGTAGTGCAGAAAAGTTTACTGAATCCATGTTTGACTTGTTCACATGTGAAGGCTTTTGCAGCTCAGTAGTTAAGCTGTAGACTTTCAGTGTCACAAGTTCAGTCCAAAAGCCCATCAGTGTGTCAAAAAGCTGACTGGACTTCAGTGACTTCAGTGTGGCGGCTTGCATCACTAGTCGTACCAAAGTGCCACTAGTTGCTGAAAAAGGTGACACATCCAAGTTTTTGTTCAACTAGTAAGGCAGAAGGCTAAAGTAGTCGGACAAAGGTTCAACTAGTGCTGACAAAGAGCTGACTTGTGGAGGAAACTGCCGTTGGATAAAGGATATGAAATTAACACTATGGCTTGTCATAAAAACAGGATGCTTGTTTTTCTACAAATAATCAGCAGCCACAGCTAAAACCAATTGTAAATCTCAACAGAGGTTATTAAACACCACTCTGGATTTATACCTCATGCTTAAAGTTAAAGCCCTTTCAAATCTAGTACTGAAGGTTCAAGTTATTTGAACTTTAGCCTTGTTTACAGAAAAAGTTTCAAAGCCTTGGTAATCAGTCTGCAACTCTATGATTTAACAAGAAGCTCATACATGCAGAAATCATTGGATTTAAAATAAATGTGTATCGGCTTTTCTTCAGCCTTGAGCTGGTTCTCTGGACAGTCTGCATCGAGCCCCACAGTGAGGGCCTCTCAGACTGCTGATCATGTGAGCCTACAGGCTACACACATGATCAGCAGCATGAGCCGTGTTCACTGCAAGGTAGGGCCCAGAGAGCAGTACAGAGGCAAAGTACAGAGTGGTGCAGCAATGAGTCCTGGAGCCCGGAAATGAGTTCAAATTGTACCACTTCCAGTGCCCTCATCTCAAAGTCAATGTTGTTTTTTTAACTACTATTCGTCTGAAATAAGATCTG